GTTTGGAGGAAGGTCCTGGAAGGGCAACAAAGCTGATGTAATTCCACCCCCTCCCCGTGGCCAGGGCCTCCTTTCATTATCCCAGGTTTTGTTTGTGAATGCTGGGATTTCATTTGGTTTTTGATCTGATCTTGTGATGTCTGGGAGCTGAGACCTTTAATTTCCTGTCCTGGTGGATCTGTCTCTGAAATCCTCCTAGGGATGTGTGTTTGCAGGAAACTGGGACTGGGAAAAATGTAAAAATGCACCAAAAACCTCAGCCAGGGAGGGCAGAATTAACAACCCAATCAAGCCAAGATTCTTTAATTCAGTTCATTAAAAGCTGACCCCACCTGACTGAATGAACTGAGGATGCTGCAGGTCCTGGGGTCACCTTCACATTTCCCAGCACAGAAATCCAGTGCAGCAGGACCAGCTGCTGCAGAAAACCTGGATTTTGGCTCTGTGATTGAAGAATTGAACTTCCCTGGAAATTATTTGCTCTCAGGCACCAGGAGCAGTTTTATCTCTCAGGAACTTGTTAAAAAGATTGAAATAGGTATAGTTTGGTCACAATGGGGACTCCCACAAAGCCAGGTGGGGTTTTAATCATTATTTTATTATTATTTTATACATATTTATATAAATGAGTGGCAGGTTTCATTTGGAGAGTATTTCAGAAAAATCAGAGTTGAGCCTGGGAGTTGTGTGGCTGCCTGGGAAGAAAAGCTGGGAGGAATCAAAGCTTTTCCAGCTTTTCAGGATGGAGCAGCCACTGAAATCTGACAGAAGAAAAATTGGATGAGGTGTTGAACGAGTTCTGGCAGCTCCTGTGAGCTGAGGAGCAGGATTAGGGAGAGCTGGAGATTTGGGAAGCTAAGCTCAGTTTTAGTCTGGCTCCAGCATTTGTGATTAACTTCTCCTGCCTGTGGCTCTTCAGGGCAGCGAGGCTGCAAAATCCAAAGCAGATTGCTCCAGAGACAATTCCATTTCCACTGCCCATTAAATATCAGGGTATTTCTTTATTAGAATGAGCTTGATGGGAATGTTGGGTGTTTGTAGCTGAGCTCAGGGAGATTAATTAATGAGATCCCCATTAATGCCATGGCTGGGGTGATATCTGGAAATAAAGCCCCACCTGCCTATTTTTTTTACAAAGTGTTGTGGAAAAATATCCAAAAGTTTCTCTGGAATTCAGAAATCCAGCTCTGCCCCAACATCTCAGCCCTGGAGTCACATTCCCATGGATTTTCCACAGAAGTAGCCACAGCAATGCTAATTTGGGAGTTGTCTGGGGAGCAAACTTGGAGTGCCAGAGCAAGACTAAACCCCCTCTGTGTTTCCTCTAATAAAAGGGAAGAACACTAAATAATTAACGTCAACAAATGAAAACTAATTTACCAATTTTTAATTTTTCCCCCATTGCATGATCCCTGTTAATGAATAATTTACCAGCCAGAGATGAAAATAAAATGAAAGGATTTCTCTGGGGTCTGCTGTGTTCTCTGAACATCCAGCCTGTTTAGATATCCATATATATTTTTCTTTTAAAGGGCAAAAAATAACCCCAGAGAAAACAGCTTTCAGCAGGAACCAGGCAGGAATAAAAAGAGCTGCAGCCTCCAGAGGTTTTCCCATTTCCTTCCCGACCTGAGATCATTTGTCTGAGGCTGTTTGTGAATTATTCATACCCAGTGGAGCTCTTTGCTTTCCCAGATTGAATGTGACCAGTTTCCATCTCAGGGCTTCCCGTGCTGCTTTTTTTGTTTGCATTTCAGGTTTTCCTGGGATGCCCTTTATCCCAAGGCCCTGCTGGATGCTGGGGGACTCTGTCAGTCAAACTCCCAGAACCTGCTCTGTGCTCAACGCCCAGTGCTTCCCACGGCACATGAGGGAATGGGAATGGGATGGGAATTTCCTGTGGGAATGGGAATGGGATAACTGGGAAACCCTGGGAATGATGCCCTGCTTCTGCTTTGGTTTTGGAGTGGGGCCTCCAAGGGAAAAGTGTTTGTTATTTTAGCTCTGGGTTGATTTTAAGGGTCCTGTGCATCCCAATCCCTGTGTCAGATTTGCAGGAGCATCCCAGTCTGTGGAAGTGTGGCAGCTGATGGAATGAGATGGGGTTTAAGATCCCAGTTCAAAACCCTTCTGATTCAGCTGCCACTCAAAACCTGCTTAGGTTTGGGTGTGTTAGATAGGAGTGGGAAAACAGACCCAGGACTGGGGAAACAGATCCAGGACTGAGGAAACAGATCCAGGACTGGGGAAACAGATCCAGGATTGAGGAAAAAGATCCAGGATTGAGGAAAAATATCCAGGATTGGGATGATCTTCAGTGTGTGCTCCAAGGCTTCCTTGGAGTTCCATGCTCCACCAGCCTCCAGCATAAGCAGCATCTCTATATCCCATGGACACTGGAGACAGCCTCATGCCATGGAATTCCAGACTGGTTTGGTGGGAAGGAGCAGGAGGAGAGACAAGTTCCACCTGCAGTTGGGTTTCCTTGGCTTTTCCTGCTGCTGGGCACCAGAGGCACAACTTGAGGAGGAGCACTTGTGGCTCGTTGCTGTCGCTGTTCCCTGACCCTGCTCAGGTTTGGGAGGAGCCATCCCCAGTATTGGTGTGAAGCCATCCTGATGTTTGAAAGGAGCCATCCCAATGTTTGTGAGGAACCATTCCAGTGTTCCTGAGGAGCCATCCCAATGTTTGTTCCTGAGGAGCCATCTGGTGTTCCTGAGAAGCCATCCGATGTTTGTTCCTGAGGGGCCATCTCGATGTTCCTGAGGAGCCATCCTGGTGTTCCTCAGGAGCCATCCTGATGTTTGTTCCTGAGGAGCCATCCTGGTGTTCCTCAGGAGCCATCTGGTGTTCCTGAGGAGCCATCCAGTGTTTCCCTGCTCCAGGTGAAGAGCGGTGGTGCTGCACATGGGATGTGGTTGCCGAGCAACCTCTGGAATTAAAACCATCTTCAGAGCCCCTGGTGCATCTGAGAGCGGAGATGTCCCTGCTCAGCAGCTCTGGAGCACCCTTTCCATGGAGAAATTCCTGCTGATGTCCACCCTGGGGCTCCCCTGGCCCAGCCTGAGGCCTTTCCCCCTCCTCCTGTCCCGGTTCCCCGGTCGCAGATCCCAATCCCAACCTGGCTGTCCCCTCCTGTCAGGGAGTTGTGCAGAGCCACTCCTCAGATTTCCTCCTAAAACCCCTGGAAGAAAATACTGTAGAAATAATATTTTTTCATAAATGGGATTGTTACTTTTTACAGGAACCTTCTGATTCCCAAACTAGTTCATCCCTCTTTTGTGAGGATTACAGACATTCCTCCACACTGAAAAGTTGAAAATTGGATTAATAGATTTTCTTTCAGTTTTCAAACATTCCTCTGTTGTTGTCACTAAAATTAAGAGGCTCAGGAGCTATAAAAAGCTTTTTTTTTCCCCCCCCTGCTTTTTCTGGGGAAAACCCCTCCCCTGGGAATTCAGAAATGGATCTGTCATGTGAGATTTCCCCCTGCCTTCCCCTCCCTGCTGTGCTGCAGTTCACCCTGCCTGTGTTCCAATCTCCTCGTATTCCTCTCCCAAATAATCCAGACTCAAGTGTGTCATGCAATTAAAGCAATAAAAAATGGAAAAATATAAAATTAACAAACCCCAGGATGCTGGGTATGCTCAGGCTGAAAAATAATTAACGGATAGATGGAATGAGCACGTTAAGGACTATGAAAAGACACTTCAGGTTGCTCTGAGTGAGTGTGCTCCTCAAGCTTTCCTGGATTTTTTTTCCCTCAGTGTCTGCCTGGAGCTGCCCAATCCCTGTCCACATCTGTATGCAGCTGGAGGAGGGAAAAGAAAAGCCCAGGAATTTTCACAGTATTCTTGTTTTATCCGGGCTCAGAGAAGCCCCGTAACTCATCCTGGGTTCCAGCAGGAATGTGGATCCATTCCAAAGGAACTCCCTGGAGCTGGGTCACTCTGGGCAGGATGTGGAGCTGAGGGTGGCACCATCCTGGCTGTCCCTGTCCCCCCCTGTGCCTCTGCAGCATCCCACCCCTTTTCCATGGGATCAGCACCACGGGCAGCTCCATAAATCCCGCCGCGAGGAGCACGGATCGATACTCCACGGTTAATGATGCCCGACTGAAATTAGGATCGATTTCCTGTCTCCTCCTCTTCCCAATTATGCAAACTCGGCTGTGCCCCCTCCAGAGCTGCCTTTTATCCCGGCTTTTAGAGGCACTGCCCAGTGATGTTTCATTCGGAATAGTCAAAAACATCACAACCAATTCTGCCTCTTGCTTTTTTTGTTCTCTGCTCAGTCTTCACCCCAGGGTTAATGGAAAATGATGTCAAACACCAGGAGTGATTTATGGAAGTCAGGCAGCTTTTGGCACCCTGAGCTATGGATAAAGTCAACTGCAAATTGTTTTCACATTCTAAATTACTGTACCCAGCTCTGGAGGAGGCTGGAAAAACTGCCGGAGGGAAAATGTGGGAGAAGGAAAGGTTGTGTGGTTATCTCTGAACTGAGCTGTGCCTCAGAAGAATTCCATTTTTTTAAAGCCAAACCTCTGTGCTGAACATCAGGGATGGATTTTTCCCAGGAATTACCATGGATGTGGGGATTCCCAGCTCCACATCTGCCACATTAAACTGCTGGAACAGGAAGTGGTGCAGGCTGGAAATCTCTTCATTAAGAGCCTGAATAGGTTTTGATGGCAGAACAAAGATTCCCAGGAGCACCTCTGGAATCAAAGATACCCAAGAAGAGAAAGAAAACTTTCCTCTTTTACTCTGTGTCTTATTTTTGTAGCTCTGATATTTCCTTTCAAACTTGTGCTGGATTATCAATAAAATATTGTTTTCTTTGTCATTGTTATGGATTTTTAAGTTTAAAATCTTGTAGGAGGAACCTGAGGGATTGTTTTTGTTTTGGCGTTGATTCAAAACTTGCTTTGTCTTGAGGCTAAGAGGAAATGTCCAAGTGCTTCTCATAAAAATATTTTTTTCTCTCTCTCCTTGCAGGAAGAACTCAGGAGGCTCCAGCACACCCTGGAACAGGTCAATGATGGCAAAGACTCGCTCCAAAGGTAAATGTGCCTTTTCCAAAATACCTCACCCATGAGAAAGTGAAATGGATTTTCCAAGGTGTGAACCCTTTGCTGAGGGATCCTCTTTGTCACAGACATCCCAAATTTTGCCTTTTTCCCATAAACAATTCCTATTTTTAGTTACAAGAGGACAATTTCTGACAAAGATATCATTGAGTGCCCAGTAAAGTCTCAAAATAACTCCAGAGGTTGGGGTCTGATCTCCCAAATTTCCTGCCAAGAGCTGCATTCAATCCATGCTGCTGCTCCATCCAGGGCAGTGATCCCAGATGCTGGATTTGGATATTCCAGCATTTTCAGATTGCTTTCTTCGAGCCATCACTTCCCAGCAGCAACTCCTTGGCCATCATTTATTACAAAGAATTTATTCCTCACCCCCCACGTGGCTTTTGCTGCTGTAACTCATTTGCTGCCAGCATTCCCATTGTTCCTTTCCATTTCCCTCTCCAGCTTTTCCAGCATGGCCATGGGGATGGGAGTTAATTTAGCAGGGATATCTGTTAGATTTGACAGGGTTTTTTTGGTTTTTTGTTTTGTTTTGTTTTGTTTTGTTTTTAATTTACAGCAGCTCTTTTGCTGGTTGTGCCTGTCCCTGGAGCTGTGGCAGCTGGGAGATTTAAAACAGGGATTCAGGCAGGTTCCCACTGGAAAACTGGATCCAAATTCCCATTTTTTTGTTGGGAGCTGGACACAGAGGTCCAGATAAATTCCTCCAAAGATAGCAACACCTTCTGATCAGCAGCTCTTGTTTGTTCTTGTCCAGATTAGGGAATTCATTCACAGGGTTGCAGGAATGTCAGGCTGGAACACGTTTAACTAATTTCCTTTTCTTCCCCGTAGCCATCAGCTCACCATGGATGAAGAAAATAATATCCAGGAATATCCTATCAATCTCCAGCCCTTGGAATCCAAAGTGAAAATGTGAGTAAGGAAAAGTGTTGGGTCTGCCTTGGAATGCATCTGGGGATGTCCAATTCCTGAGCTGCAGGATCCGCACTGGATCCATCCTGGCTTTCTGTGTAGCTGGATAAAAGATCTTCCAATTAGCAAATTAATTAAGTTCTCTATGTGTAAGAATATGGAGCTGGGAAAGTTGGGGTTGTTCAGCCTGGAAAAAAGAGAAGGCTCTGAGGTGACCAAATTGTGGCGTTGCAGTGCCTGAAGGGGCTCCAGGAGAGCTGGAGAGGGACTGGGGACAAGGATGGAGGGACAGGACACAGGGAATGGCTCCCACTGCCAGAGGGCAGGCATGGATGGGAGACTGGGAATTGGGAATTCCTGCCTGGGAGGGTGGGGAGGCCCTGGGATGGAATTCCAGAGCAGCTGTGGCTGTCCCTGGATCCCTGGAAGTCCCCAAGGCCAGGCTGGATGGGACTTGGAGCAGCAGGGAAGGTGTGCCTGGCAGGGGTGGGATGGGACTGCAGGATCCGCACTGGATCCATCCTGGCTTTCTGTGTAGCTGGATAAAAGATCTTCAAATTAATTAAGCAAATTAATTAAGCAAATTAATTAAGTTCTCTATGTGTAAGAATACGGAGCTGGGAAAGTTGGGGTTGTTCAGCCTGGAAAAAAGAGAAGGCTCTGAGGTGACCAAATTGTGGCGTTGCAGTGCCTGAAGGGGCTCCAGGAGAGCTGGAGAGGGACTGGGGACAAGGATGGAGGGACAGGACACAGGGAATGGCTCCCACTGCCAGAGGGCAGGCATGGATGGGAGACTGGGAATTGGGAATTCCTGCCTGGGAGGGTGGGGAGGCCCTGGGATGGAATTCCAGAGCAGCTGTGGCTGTCCCTGGATCCCTGGAAGTCCCCAAGGCCAGGCTGGATGGGACTTGGAGCAGCAGGGAAGGTGTGCCTGGCAGGGGTGGGATGGGATTTCCATTTCCTTCCCACCCAAACCATCCTGGGCTGGATCACAGAATCCCACAGATTCCCTTTGAACCCACTTTCAAATGTTAAACATCAGTGTTGCACTCATTTTGTCATTTCCTCTGCGTAACTCAAGAATATTTGGGAATCTGCTGGATTTTTCCCTGTGTGCAGAGAAGCCAGAGGAGGGAAGGCAGCACGGAGCCTTTTCCGTGCCGGTTTTCCCATCCAACATCAGTTTCCCGGGAATTTCCCGGCGGGAGCAGCCCTGGAAGTGCAGCATTCCTGCTCCAGGGTGCTCGGGTCAGTTTCCCGGGAATTTCCTGGCAGGAGCAGCCGATTTTCCCATCCAACATCAGTTTCCTGGGAATTTCCTGGCGGGAGCAGCCCTGGAAGTGCAGCATTCCTGCTCCAGGGTGCTCGGGAGAAGCGGGATTTCCTCGGGCTCGGCCACGGCCCACGCTGACACCCAGCACAGCCCGGGGCTCCGGAATGAGCTCCGACCTCCCCAACGCCACCGAATCATGGAGTCGTGGAATGGTCTGGGTTGGAAGGGACCTTCAAGGACCTTTCAGGCCTGAGCAGGGATGGCTTCAAGTAGGGCAGCTTTGTCAGCCTGATTTGGGGTGTTTTTAAGGGTGGGAAATCTCTCCCCCACCACCCTAATGGGAAAAAAGTCCTTCCTCATATCCTAAATCAATCCTCTCTTCAAATTACAATTTTTGCTGTACATTACATGATACCGAGTTTCCCCTGGCGTCAGTTATTCTAGAAGTCTTGATTTTGAATAATTAAACTTCCCCACATATTTATCTGAGTCCAGGATTCCTTTTGGAGCTTCTCCCAGCATGGATCCTCCAGCCCTGACACAGAAATTGCCTCCGTCCAGAAAACACCGCCTCACTTACAGCCCATTCAGATATTAATGCATATTAAAATATTAAAAGGACGTGAAGTTTCAAATTAAAGCCAGTGTCTTCTAAGCTTTTAGTCATGCAAATAAAAACCAGATAAAATAATCCATTTTCAGGGAGCTTTCTAGGAGAGTAATTATGACTTAAGCTCAGTCTATTCTCTAGCTTTAAAATAGAAATACATGTAAATATAAATATGTAAATATAAATATGTAAATACTCATCACAGTGAATAAACCCTCAATTGCTTAAAAATCCTACCAGGAGTTAATCCTGCAGAGAAGTTGTGGATGCTGGAATTGTTCCAGGTCAGGTTGGACAGGGTTTGGAGCAGCTTGGGATAGTGGAAATTGTCCCTGCCCATGGCAGAGGATGGAATGAGATGACATTTTCCACCTTAAACCATTCTAGGATTCCATAATTCCATGATACTGCTCTAGCTCTCAAATTCCACTTGTATCTGAATTGTAATCTGAAACGTGGTATAAAAAAAGGATGTAGATGGTTGTTAATTCTTTAAATGGAAAAATGGATGTTTTTATTTTGATTGTGGAATGTAGGATAAATTCTGAGTTCTGGATGGCCTGAACTGAAATCACTTCCATGGGTTTTGGGATTGGGTGGGACTCCGAGGAACGTGGTAAGAGTTTAAGGTCCTTTCCAACCCAAACCACTCCAGAATCCCCTGATTCTCTTTCAAAAATATCCTAAATTACCCCAGTGGTGCCTTACACAAACCCTGCAGAGGCAGTTCCACGGGATCCTTACCCAGACAGGAAAACAGAACACAGGAACCCCCAACCCCAAAGTTTCGAGCCAGGGATCTGGACTGAAATCCTTTGTTCCCTCAGCATCCAGCGAGCATGGCGTGAGCACCTGCAGCGCCAGGACCTGTCCCCATCCCCGGAGCTACGGGACAAGGGCAGCCCGTCCCCGACGTCCCCGACGTCCCCAAGGTCCCCAATGTCCCCAAGGTCGCCAGCCTCGGGCAAGATGAGCAGGTCTGTCAGCATGAACACCTTCTCCGACAGCAGCACCCCCGTGAGTCCGGCTGGAATTCCTCCTTTTGCCTTTGCTGCCCTCCTTTCTGGGGTTTGGGATAAGTGAAAGCTCAGTTGTGGGTTGGTAATGGGTTAAAAAGGGGATTTTAGGTGTCTCAAATGACCTCCAGGCAGAGATTCCTCTTGTAGGCTCATCAGGATGTGTGACTGTGGGTATCAGACATGGAATTCAGCAGATTTTGAGATGTTCTTGCTGATAAAAAGGGGTTTCCAAGTGGTCTTGTGTCCTGTGTGTTTAGGATATTGTGTTCCCAAAAAAACTTCAAATTGTGGTGCTTTTCATGAAAAGAAAGGTGGTTTCTTGGTTGATTTTTGGTTTTGTTTTGTTGGTTGATTTTTGTCAAAAAAGAGACTAAAAGAGTCTAAAGGAGGCTAAAAGGGACTTTGAGAAGTTGATTTAGGAGATCAGCATTAAATTTGATTTTGGAATAAATATTCTGCCTTGACCAGTGGCTGGAGGCTGCATTTCTCTTTTTAAGTTGACCCTAAATAAACCCCAAATATAGATCCCATTTTTGGAATACAAACAGCTCTGTGATTGCCTCTGAATTGGGATTTTTAGGACAATAATTAAACAAATACAGAGCCTGGAGATGTTGCCTTCAGCCTTGTGACAGAAAACAAGACTTGAGGGAATTGCAGACTGGAGCACATGGAATAATTCAGGAATTCCAGGAGCAGCGATTGCCCTGGTGTGTGGTGCAGGAAGTGTCTCCCTGCTCCTGAGGAGGGAATAGCTTGGTTGGATCCTCACTGCCAGTGGCTGTTGTCGCTCCCAGGACAGCTTTTGGTGGCTTCTGGACCCCTACAAAAATCTGGGAATCATTGTTAGTGGTGTTCTTCAAGCTGAATAAATTTAATTCTGCCTTGAGTTGCAAAGTTGGAGCGATTTTAATCTTGTGAAGCCCAAGGCACGGATCAAACAGAGCTTTTCCACACTAAAAACTCTGATCTTGGAATTCTGAGGCTAATTTGACTCTTTCCAGTGTCAATCCAAGTGTTGATTCAGGCCCAAAGTGAAGCTGTTTCCAGCAGGTTTATTTTGGGACACGGTGCTTGACAGAATTTAATCAAATATTCCTGAGGGCACTGCTTTATTTTCAGTTGGTAGCCGGAGAGGAGGAGGACAAGGTGGGCTGGGTTATTGGGTTAGACACTGACATTTCATGGATTAAAGGGGTTTGGTTCCTTTAATTAGAGGAATAAATGAGGATATAAATGTTTATCTGCCACTGGAATCTGCCTCCACCAGAGGTCCCTCGTACCCTGCGCAGGGACTCTGCTGTGTGCTCCAGAGTTTCTCCAGCACTGATCTCGTTTGGAAAATGACACTTTGGGGTGTTTGGGAGTTCAGGAAGGGCAGCTGGGAGTTCTGTATTTGTGGGGAGAAAGTGATGGCTCCATCTCTGAGCATTTGTGGGGTACAACACGGGGTTCCCCCGGGCCTTCCCCATGGAGAGAGCTGATGGAACGGGTGCAGAGTCAGAGCTTGAGGGATGAGATGGGAAATGGAGAATTCTTGTTTGGCTGCTGCTTTGTATCAAAGAAAAGTTCGTGTGTGTATAATACAAACAGCTTTTTAACTGTTGGAAATGATCTGTTATTGATCACTTGTCAGAGCTTGAGGGATAAGATGGGAAATGGAGAATTCTTGCTTGGCTGCTGCTTTGTAGCAAAGAAAGGTTCGTGTGTATAGTACAAACAGCTTTTTAACTGTTGGAAATGATCTGTTATTGATCACTCATCAGATTATGGTATGAGGAGCACACAGGCTGGAGCTGTGTTGTCTTCACTTGCTTTTGTTTTCCTTTTGCACGTTAATTTTTGCTAAAAAGAAATTAGAAGACAGATGTATAACAGATTTGAAATAATGTTCTTCCTTGTAAATGTTTTAATTTTTGCTACCGTGTAGAAAAGTGCTAAAACTTTCCTTCCTAGATGGGTTTCTGCTTTTTCCTCCAAAATCACTGAATGGTTTGGGTTGAAAGGGACCTTCAAGCTCATCCCATCCCACCCCTGCCATGGCAGGGGCACTTTCCACCATCCCAGCCCCAATGTCCAGCCTGGCCTTGGACACTTCCATGGATCCAGGGGCAGCCACAGCTGCTCTGGACACCCTGTGCCAGGGTCTGTCCATCCTCACAGGGAGGAATTCCTTCCCAATATCCCATCTAAATTTCCCCTCCTTCAGCTTGAAGCCATCCCCTTGTTCTGTCACTCCAGCTCCCAGTGAAGTCTCTCCATGTCTTCCTTGTATCCCCATTCCGATTCTGGGAGTAGCTCTGAGCTCTGCACACAAATTCCTCTTCTCCAGGCTGACAAATTCCACCTTCCCAGCCCGTCTCCACAGGGGAAGGTCTCCAGTCCCCTTATCAACATCATGGCCAGCTCTGGGCTCGCTCCAGCAGTTCCACGTCCTTCTTACTGCGGGGACAGCAGATCCGTGTGCAGCATTCCAGGCGGGGTCTCAGGAACATTCCGTGTCCAGGGGGATGTGTCAGCCCCGCTCCCACCCTGCCGGGCTGCCCGGGGCAGGAGCGGCATCCCCGGGATGCGGGGCCGTTCAGCACCGCGGGCAGCGGCGGGGCCGGGCGCGCTCAGCACCGCGGACAGCGGCAGCTCCGCTCGCTCCTCGCCCGGGACTCGGGGCCCGCTGCCCTTCAGCGCGGATCTTACCCCAACCCTGTCACTGCTGACCTCCCACCCTGGCAAAGCACCTCTTTGCCTCTCCTAAAAATCACTGGGATGCTCACGAGAATGAACATTCCGTAAAATTCCCATTTTTCTGCTTGAGCCCAGTGCTCCAAGAGGCAACTTTCTACCAAGAAATGCTTTTTATTAGACGTGTAGCCACACAAAAGCTGTTTTTCTAAACAGGAATGAGTATTTTGCCACCTTTTGTCCATCAGTTGATGCCATAGAAATGTTCCATGGGGACCTCTGCCCAAACCCCAGTTTGTCTGTCCTTCCTGCCCCATGGGGTACCTTCAAAGCTGGGACTTTCCTCAGTGATTTATTAAGGTTTGGTTCTAAAATAGAACAAAATCTCTCTGCAGCCTTTGTGTGTTCCTGGGTCTCCCAGCACAATCCCATTTTCCCACCGGTGTCTGTGACATTCCCAGGTGGGTTTTGCACCTGCAGGAGCGATGGGAAGTCGAGGGAGAGGGAAAATTAATGTATGGGAGGCAATGAAATCCTAACAAGCAGTGGGGTGTTAACATGGGAACATTCCCTCTTTCCTGTGAGCCTGAATTCCCAAATCCGTGAGCAGCAGAGAGGGAACCATCTGATAAATATTTACAATGTGATTTCTATATAATGTAAAAATGCAAATCCTTGCTCTTGAGCAGCGTGGATGGAAACATAATTAAAGATGAGGGAGACAAATCCAACTGAGATGAAAAGGCCTTAATTAGAAATCAAATATTTGATGGGTTGGGGAGAAACATTAACGCTGATGTGGCTGTCAGATAACACTTGGAATGAAAGGAACATGGAAAAAAAATGTTGTTTTCAATCCCTCCCATTGGCTTTGGATAATCTCAGTTCTAAATGTGAGCATGGAATTCAAAGTGCTGTGGCCTAACAAGGAATTTGTCTTTTAAATGGCTTTTATATGGAGAAATAGTTGTTGAGTTTGTGTTTATTTGTGTACATAATCATCCCCAGTGATTATCCAAGTTTAAATCCCTTAAAAATATCATCCCATGGGATTTGAACTGCTGGGATACAAAAGGACCCTCTTGATCCTTTCTGCTGGTGGGGGCAGAACACCAACAATTTCTTCTTTTTTATCTTGTGTGCATTGAAGGTTGGGTATTGATGGGATTATTGATGTCAGTTTGAGTCCTTGTGGATTAGCAGCAGCAAAATCAATCCAGAAATGCTCTTGGTTGATGACAAAACCTCTGATAAGACATTTCTGGTGATGTTTCTGGGAGAATATTCAGCTCCTTGAGATACTTGAGAACAGTTTTTTGAGTTCTGGAGTGGGTTTAGCTCTGTGAAGTTTCACAATGAGATGGCTCTGGTGATATTGATGAGAGGGCTCAGAAATAGTTTTATTTATGTCCCACTTCAGGAAATTTGGCTGAATCCTTTATAAATCCTTTCTAAGCTAATTCTATTTGCAATATCTCATTTATTCCCACAGCATGGAAATTCCACTGCCTGCCTGCTACAAAGCCAGGCCCCAAAATGAAAATAATATTAATGCAGACTTTAATGCTGAATTAAGCAGGGGGGTGCAGAGCAGATTTGCACCATGACAGGAAGCTCCTGGCAGGTTTCTCTCCAGCCCTGTGACAGCACACTGAAAATCCAGAATTTCCTTTGTCTGAGGAACTTCCAGAGGGAAGGGACGGATATTGGGAAGGAATTATTCCCTGTGAGGATGGGGAGGGGCTGGGATGGAATTCCCAGAGCAGCTGTGGCTGCCCCTGGAATCCTGGAAGTGTCCAGGCTGGACACTGGGGCTGGGAGCAGCCTGGGACAGTGGAAGTGGAAGACAGGATGAGCTTTGAGGTCCCTTCCAACCCAAACAATTCCACGATTCTCTCCTCTGTGACCAGTGAGCTTTGCTGATGGCATCTGCAGTCTTTGGGAATGATGACAGTGGCCTGATTTCTTTAGGCTGGAAAAGATTCCATCTCTTCCTGCTCTTTAGGATGCACAGCTAAAATATCCTGAAACATGTAGAGTTTCCAATGAGACCCTCTGGGATCACAGCTTTGGGTGTTTGCTTGAGAGCTGGGCATGGGTGAGGAGAGGACACAGCAGAGCACACCAACAACTCCTAGGAATTATTTGGAATACCAGGATCTGGCAAATCCAAAATGACAAGGCCTTTCATTGTCACCCTTCCCAAGCCCTGCCTGTGACAGAGCTTAAACAGCTCAATCCAGAGCAAAACACTGGAGCAGTGCAGGAAAAAGGAATGGGAAGGAAAGGATGGGAATGGTGACGTGTCTCCAACACGGAATTATTTCAGACAGGGAGATTTCCAAACACAGGTTTCCCACAAGGAATTATCTTCACTGGCTGGGATGAATTCTATTTTCATGGGACCAAAAAAGAGGGGGAAATGTAAGAAATTCAAGTAATGGATAATAAAGTCATGATTAGACCAGGAGGAATTAGATGTATAA